TTGCGGGCCCTGAAGTACTATGCTGTAGACAAGCACATACAGGGAGGATTCTCAAAAGGCTTCTGTAAGGCACTGAGAGCTTGAGCCAGGCCACGCCGGATATTGAGTGTTCTCAGAGACTGACCATATTGGCTCAGAAATAGTCAGAACTATGAGCAGCTGGAATTTACCAAGAACAGAATAGGAATAGCAAATGAGAACTTGAGCAAGTTTCTCAGCTTTATGTCCAAGCTACTCCTTTCCATTGTCATCTTACTGGAGCTTATCACCTTGGATGCCTGGTTTATTGGAAATTCTATCACAAGCTCTGAACTTGCTATAAAGGATTTATGGACCAGAATTTTGGCCCTCTGAATATGTGCTGGCAGGTAGACAGACTGCAACTCATAGTTACCCTATGCATATAGCACTGAACCTAGTCCTTTCCTGAGCCATTGTGTCCGACATACCCATTTTATCATTACCCCAGTTACTGTGTTAACCCATCTCATCGAGGGTCTTTGTCCACCCTTCCAAACATGGTGTCCTCCAAGTATCAGAACTATATACCAAGGTAATAAATGCTGTTTAGGACTTGTTTAAATGAAAAGGGGGGTAAAAGCCCCTTCCAGGACTGGAAGTTAAAAACTAGCCTGTATGCTCCCTTGTGGTGACCACCTGAACCCACTTGGTAAAGTAGAAGTAGCATCATGCAGCCAAGATTGGAGTTTGGAGGTGTTCCTAGGTCAAAGGAATAAGTTGTGAGAGCTCCTGACTGACTTAGCCTAGCCTATGTGAGAGTGAAGAGCGGGTTTGCAATGCAGGAAGGTCACTGAGCTTGTGCCTACTGGACCTCATCACAGATTGCTAGTTGACTAGAAATCTACCAGATGAAGAGACGCTTAATGCTACGGACTAGTGATGGCTTGATGTGGACTGGATGTTGTTGCCTGTATATACAAATACTCTATTTTCCAACTGAAACACAAGATTCTCCAAAGAAATGTGCTTATTTCTAATAGGGACTAGCGAATTAGAAATTGGCTATTTTGAGATAAAGGCATGAGGCACCTAGCCTAGCTTTCATGAATGTAGTTAGTAAAATGGCAGAAATTCCTGTGCCAAACAGACCAAGATCTTCACAAGGGCAAGAGCAGCCTCAGCAGAGAACCTGAGACAGGTGCCTTGGGACTACTTCCCACTTAAGCATGTGCCATAGAAAGCAGGACTAAGGGAATTTTGCGATGTCGACCTGAGAGGCCAAAGGTCAGAGGTCCTGCAACTAGGCCTGAGAAGGAGTCTACCTAAAATGAGGGATTGTCTTCTGTTATCAACCTGATCTAGCCTGTTAATTTCCCTTATAAATCTCATGGGGTGGGAACAAGTAAAGATCAAGTCAACTGCAAAGAATTTATATCTTCCTTCCCAACTGGGGTCCTGAATGGAATTTCCAGTACTACAGTACATAAAAGTAGCAAGAAAAGTATACCCTAGCTTGTCCTATATCTTTGAAGAAAGTTTCAGTCTTTTAAGTATATTAGCAGAGTACTGATGCCCTTTATTTGGTTGTGGAAGTTCCTTCAATGTTCATTTCAGTGTTAATGGTTCAATTATTGAATGTTAACTGACAAAGTTTCAATCTGTACAAAGGAAAACCTGTATTAAAAATCATCACCTGTGCCCAAGAAAAGCAGCAACACCAAAGAAATGATTAATTTTGAGTTTTAATTTAGTTTGAGAACTTTCATTTGAAGAATAGGGTTTAAGATGTTTATTTTGCTATTTTATCTCCAGGTAACGTAAGTGCTAACTATTAGAGAGTTAGAATGGATAATCCTGTTCTTAGAAAGGGAATTTCCCTTCTTTGGGGTTCTTAATTCAGGTAACCTAAGCTCTGGTGACATAGTCTGTATGGAGTTATGCTGTTAATGCACACCTCTTGTGGTGTGAAACCACTAGCAGCTCCTCAGAAGAAAGACAAGCAATCTCCTTTTGATTTACAGCTTCCCAGAAACCCACTGGAACATCAATAACTGCCCTAGTTGAGAGTTGTCTCTAGTACTATTTCAAGACCACTTTCAAAATATTGGAAATGTTTTGTCAGGGGGCAGTAGTGGGAAATCACCAACTATACATAATATACAAGTTCATATGCAACCAATATGCTATACAGTAAGGGTGGCCAATCTGATCAAGAGTAAAAGCTACAATTCAGGAGAAACACTTGAAAACCTTTACCAAAATTTCAATTATTACATAGGACAAAACTCCAGTATACAACTGATGTTTTAATGGAATTTTAGGCCATTCATTTTACAAACAGTTTTGGATTGCCTGTTGTTCTTAAGGCATTGAGCTAGATCTTCCCAAAGACATGGCTTATCGTATTAATACAGTTCTCAGTGACACTTTCTTCATGATTTCTTCAGGGAATACATCTTAGACTAAACAGAATAAAGTCCTAGCTAGGGCTATGGTTTGGTCACCCCTGCTCTAATGCTTTCTCTCTTCAGAAGTGAGTGTTGCAGTTACTGTCTTAAGTAATGCAGATTAGCAGTCAACATTTTATCACCTGCAGAGAAAGATGATAGTAACGATAAATGAATGGATAGGCTGTACAGCTCTTGATTTACAATAAGTGAAAATTTTATGTTAATACCGGCCACTAACAAAGACAAATAATTAAACTGCACAATATTGGCATAAGCGTCTATAAATTAAAAAATAAGTTATGTTAGTAAAACAGTAGCTTATTACTGGGGAAAAGCTGTATATAAAAAGAAAAAATCTATATGCAACTAATTACAAGCCTGTAAATATTTCCCAAGAGATTTAAAAAAATCCTGCAATGTTTTCTAGAAATACTGACACATATTAAGATCCTGACTTGAAAGGTAATGTTAAGGGAATACTGAAATGAATTGAGGTATATACTTGATACATTAGAAACCACCATTTGAAAACTGAACACTAGAATCTCTATATGGCAATTAGGTTGGTTGCATTAGGAGACAATAAAACTTTTCAAAGACATGCCAGTACAGTTTTCCCTTAAAATCTCACCAAATGGGAATTTTCACACTGTGCTTAAATAACTAAAACCTTTATTGGATATGATTTTCCAGCAACAATAATTTGAAAATCAGAATTATCAGTTCAAAGAACTGAAATTTTTAGGCTAAGTATTAGGTAGGGATAAAAGACAAAAATTTTTTTTAAATGCTAATACTCAAATCCCTCCCTTCTGTACACAATGTTTATATATAAACTACTACTTCATTTTTCTTTTATTCATGTAATAGTGAAATCCCTTTAAGCAAAGTATCGTATACAGATGGTATCCAACTGAGGAGGGGGCCCAAGAGTAAAAACACACTTGATTAACAGTTTTCAACCACACATTTTTTTTAGACAATTGTATTTTTTTTCCAAGATTTTAGCAGTAAATTAATAAATATAGGAAATACTCTATTCCTTCAGCATTAAAAAAAGAAAACCAAACAGTGCCAACAGTAGTGGTGTAATTATTGTATACAAGAAAAACACAACACCAATAGGTTTTCTTAATTCTGCATTTTAAATATGTGCATTTGTTTCATTTTTACAGTTATAAATTGGTCTGTTTGACAACAGCATTTTAATAGTTTTCAATCAAGAGATGTTGCTTTCAATTAGAAACATTGTGTGTATATACGTATATATAAAAATAACCCAACATATGACTGATCTAACAGATTTTAAGATCAATAAAGGCTTATTTTTGAACATGCAGTTAGGAGAGAGGCAAGTCAGCCCCTCTACACTGTCTTCTTGCTGGCTTGTTTTTTGCAGTGGTATCAATAGTGGTTTCTGGAGGGAACCATGTGCCCTCTGCCTACCTCAATAAAAAGATACCACACTTAATACGAGGGTTGGGGGAGAAATGGGAGTGGGAAAATGTCAAATTTTAAAAGTATGCCTTCACACTGTTCTAGGGGAAGGATTAAAAACAGGCCAATGGGGGGTTGGGGGGAAATCATAATTGGAGAATGGGGGGCAAACCTGCAATTAAATAAAAATGTACCGGCCGAATTAAGTTTTTTTAATAAGACTGCATATATAGATGTTTAGCCACACTCTTTGATCCACTCTTTAAGAGTAGAACTTTATGTCCAATTACATGCTTCAAACAAGCTTTTCTTATTTGTTACAGTAAGGAAGGCCATGTATCCAAATTTTGACTTGTACACTGAGAGCTTTAAGAAAAACAGGACATGAAGGGAGTTGCCATTTTTTCTTAGCAGCAAT